GTTGATTTTAGTTTGTTAAGAGAGATGTCTTACAATGTGAAATAAAACAAAGAACTGGGAATGCTAGAATTCTGAAACAAAAACAGATATTGCTGGTAAAATTCCATTCTGATAGAGTCACCAGACTCGAAAGGTTAATTCTGTTTTCTTCCCACAGATACTGTCAGATCGGCTGAGTATCGCAAACAATTTCTGCTTTTGACCTAAAATATCAAATGTTATCCCTCAGCTATTTCCATTAGTCATTGTAAATCTCACTTTTTAAAAAGTTATCAGTCTCTTAATCTTTTTTGGTAATTTCAATTTCTGTATTCCAGAGATATCTTGCTTTGCTAATCTTTTTTCCTACAGCAACATCCTTTCTATGCTTAGTTGATGGAACTGTACCTACCTGTCTGAAGAAATGCATTTGTACACTGTAGGCAATGAATTTTCATGGTCATGACACCTCTGAGCTAGTTTTTTTTCTGTTTAGTGAAATAAATATGCAGCTAAAATTATGTTGATTTTGAGAGGTGTAAGAGAGCTACATACTATAATAAGTAGCAAAGAAAAACAAGAACTGCAGTTTGCTACTTTAATCTACCAGCAGGACGGGCTTGAATTTACCAGTCCCTGTTCCTTCATCAATGAAAGATAATGTGAGATAGAGTTGTACCATCTTCCAATTTCAGGGCAAGGAAGTAATCAAGGATGTAACAAGTTTACAGACTAATTAGCAGCATGATAGCAGTGAAAAAGCCTAGAAAGCTGAGTGTGTCCAAAGGATCTAAATAAAGCTTTGAGGAGATGTCATTATTCCAGGCCAACCATTGAAGAAACTTACCAGCAACTTGGTGAGGCCAATGTATTTGTATTTTTAACTCTGCACCTTGTTTATTTCTGACCTATGGTCAAACTGTGTATAGCTGTAATTTAACTTTTCTTCATTTCTCTATTCTGTAACTGAGGATTGTACTAGGTACCTTTGTACCTGATATGGCATTATAAGTGGTGACTTACAAACTTTTCACTGTACTCATTTGAGTACATGTGACAATAAAGCTAATTCAATTCAATTCAATTCAACTTACCAAACTAGATGAGAAAATGGATACTGACAAGTGAAGATGGATGAAAGCAACAGTTTTCTGACTGCTTTATGAGCACCATTTGGGATGTAAAGGTGGTTTCCCATGCCATTTGGTATTTCCACTGCTTGAAAAGTGTATCAACATGGACAGCATGATGTAATTCATTTTCCCCAAGTGGAAGCAATCATGGATGATCTACTCATCTGTGGACATGGAGATATGATGGAAGAAGCCATCATACACCATGATCAGAATCTATTGAGGCTGCTAGAGAGAGCCCTCTCTACAAACCTTAACATAAAAAAGAAAAGGTTGCAACTCAACGTGATTAAATTAAAGCACATAGGTCATGTACTGACAGGAAAAGGACTTCATCTTGATCCTGAGAAGGTTAGTTCTATAATAGAAATGCAACAGCAACAGAAGTGAAAGTAGTGCAAGGTTTGCTGGATTTGTGAACTACCTAACAAAGTCCTTAACTAATTTGTTGGCATATGAAACTATATGCAAGTTCACTATAAAGGATATGCATTGGCACTGGGGCAAAGAACAAGAAGCCGCTTTCACTCAGCAAAAAACTGGTCGCAGACATTCCAGGTACTATCATGTTAACAATGAAATCACTGTACAGTGTGATGTCAGTGAGTCAGGACTTGAGCAACTTTCATACATCAATGACAACTGGTCATGTTCGTGTCCAAGGAATTAATGCAAACTGAGTGCCATTCCTTGGAGCCAGAGAAGGAATATCAACTCGGGGTGAAGAAATATCATTTGAACAGCCAAAAACAACTTGCACATACCATTAGATGTTGTGAATACTTTAACAATTGTGAGTGCAATGCATTGGCAGGGATAAGCAAATATACGGACTAGGATGAAGAAATATATTTTGTTACGAGTGATCATTTTCTTTATAGTCCATACAAATTGGATAACTTTCAGTTCCAAATGATAGTGTATACAATATTTATTTTTTTCTATGGAAAGCAGACCTTCAGCGAAATGCCTTTGTACACTGTGTACTGCAACTTGTTATGGTCATGTGATCTTTGATGTACCTGCTTGCAGTTTAAAGCAAGTAAGTATTACAGCCCACACATGGAACATGTTCCGGATACACAATACAAATTTTTTAATTGTTAATCTAATTCTTTGTTCAGTCCTGAGGCTCGTGTGCAGCATAAACACCTGTTTCTCTGCTGCAAATATTATATAACCTAACCTCCAGATTATATTCGTCATCTTGTCTTTCTTGTATCTTCTCCTCCTTGAAGATCCTTCTTAAATACAACATCTAATCAACAACTTGCAATTATATAACATCTTTAACAAAGTACAAAACCTAATATATTGTTGTCAAGAAAAAATTAACTCCAAGCCAACTAGGGAGATAATATAACAGATGAAGAAAAATGATTCAGAGATAGCGGGAACTGCCGAAGCTGGAGAATCTGAGATAACAAGGTGTAGAGCTGGATGAATACTGCAGGCCAAGCAGCATCAGAGGAGCAGGAAAGCTGATGTTTCAGGTCTAGACCCTTCTTCAGAAAAATCTGAAGAAACCTTTTCTGAAGAAGGGTCTAGACCCGAAACGTCAGCTTTCCTGCTCCTCTGATGCTGCTGGGCCTGCTGTGTTCATCCAGCTCTACACCTTGTTATCTCAGATGAGGAAAAATGTTGTTCATGATGGTATTTTTGATACACATTAAATGCCTGGACTTGTGTATAGAAAGCATAATTTCAAAGTTTGCCAAAGATATAATTGAGAAATGTGGTGAGCAGTACAGGGGTGTGGCAGTAAATTCCAGAAGGACATACATTACACTGGGAAAATGAGCAGAGCAAATTAAACTTAGACAAGTGGGAAGTGATTAGTTATTGTGGGACAAATGAATGGAGGGAATATGATCTAAATTATACAATTTCAAAGGCTGTAGTGGAACAAGTGGTGGTGTACATGAACAAATCTTTGAAGGTGCAGGGACAGATTGTGAATGATGTTAAAATCACAATTGGGATGCTTAGTATTATAAGTAGAGACATAGTGTACCCAAGCTGGGTAAAACACATGTTAGGGCCAGTTGAAATATTATTATAACTAATTATGCCTCCACACTTTAGGAAGGATGCCAAAACATTTGAACCTAAGGTGCACCTCATCTTCGGGTGAGATGAAGTTTGTTAGTATGGTACTGTGCCAGAGTTAAAATACTTCAGTTACTTGGGGACTCTGGAGAAACAAGGATTGTTTGTTTTAAGTGTTTCAGCTTGTTGTTCAAAACCATGAAAGGTTTTGATATAGTAAATAAGGAGGAAACTCCTAGTTAAAAAGGATTAGTAAACAGAATGCACAGGTGTAACGATATATGGTGAAACAACCAGAGACAACAATGACGAAGAAAATGTTTAAAGAGTTGGTGCAATCTGGAATGCGGTGGCTCAAAGTAAATTCATGGTAACAAATTTGATAAATACCTGAAGAGGCACAAATTGCAACAGGAACGAGAAAGGAAAGTAGTTAATTGCAGAATCTTTCAGCGCATGGAAACAGCATGGTGGGCCAAATGTTTTCATCTGTACTGTACAAAATTCAATAATTTTGGGTATGTCAGAAGAAAAGATTTAAAGGACGAGAACGGTGAAAAGGCGGATAGGGTTTAGACAGCTGATGGCGCAGGCGAATTGATGGAAATCCAGTGGCAAAAATGTCTGGAATCGGAGAAGCGTACAGATTTCAGAAGGTCTTGGAGCGGGAATCTGACATCAGAGCCGTAGGAATTTCAAAATCGAGGCTTTATCTCCCAAACTGCTAATGCAGGTGAGCGAGGGCCAGAGACAGATGGACACGACTTGGTTTGATTTAGAATTCAGACATTGGAGGTTTGGATAAACTCAAGCTCACCGACATTGAAGGGCCCCAGAAGTGTATTGGAATCGTCACCCCTCCTTTTACCTTTGACTCAGGTCAGCTTATCTGAAATGACCTCCGCTTGGGAACCCTGCAGCCCAATGGTATCAATGTGGATTTCACAAGTTTCAAAATCTCCCCTCCCCCTACCGCAACCCAAAACCAGTCCAGCTCGTCCCTGCCTCCCTAACCTGTTCTTCCTCCCACCTATCCCCTCCTCCCACCTCAAGCCCCACCCCCATCTCCTACCGACCAACCTCATCCCACCCCCTTGACCTGTCCGTCCTCCCTGGACTGACCTATCCCCTCCCTAACTCCCTACCTACACTCACCTTTACTGGCTCCATCCCCGCCTCTTCGACCTGTTTGTTTCCTCTTCACCTATCCTCTCCTCTATCCATCTTCTATCCGCCTCCCACTCTCTCCCTATTTATTTCGGAGCCCCCTTCCCCTCCCCCTTTTCTGATGAAGGGTCTAGGCCCGAAACGTCAGCCTCTCTGCTCCTATGATGCTGCTTGGCCTGCTGTGTTCATCCAGCCCTGCACCTTGTTGTCTCGGATTCTCCAGCATCTGCAGTTCCTACTATCTCTGCAACCTATTTCTTTTGCTCTGGTAAATATAATTTGTTGTTTCAGTGCAAATTACATATCGAATTGCTCCTTTCTCCAAGTATAAACATGCTTAACTTCATCGCGGTAGTTGCTCTTCATGATCCATTCAGTTCCAACCTGGTGTCTTGAATGACTCATCCCTGACTATCTCACTGTGGGGTTTGAGATTTCGTCTCACTGCCGAGGTGCTCTCTGCTCTCTGGTGCGGCTATTGTAATAGCAGTTCCTGCCTCAATCAATGGATAGCTTTGAGAGACCTACAGCTCGCACCCTCTTCCGCATTGCGATATTGACTAACTATTTCAGTGTTGTTTCTGTCTATTCTAACTTACAAACCTGTAATCTTGAGCGGGTTATTGGGCTTCCAAACATCAAAGCAAAACATAACAGAAAGAGTGCTCTTACCTAAAGAATATACAAACTTTCTGTGAGTTGTTGTCTATTGTAAGGTCGAAAGGGCGCCGGAGCTTGGGTGGTTGTTTACCGCTTTGCTCTTTAGTCCCGGGTTCATTGTTCATTAACCTCACTATGGAGTACACCGACTGCCAGATTTCCCTAGGGCGGTTTAATCCTAAAACCATTTTATATGATGCGTTGGATTTGACGTGGCAAAATAAATCGTAACTCATTTGCCAAAGCAGCACTTCATATGGAAGTGGGGAGTTATGGAGCTGGGGGCGTGTCGAAGATGTGCATATTAATAAGAACTTAACTGGGAATGTGCTAAATGTATATGATTGCGAAAATCAAAATACTGGCAAATTACCTGGAAAAGCGCTGCAGTTTCATTCTGATCATTGACATTGATAAGCTCGAACAATCATTGTCACCCTCCAACTCATAGTCTCTCTGCCAATTTCATGAAGTTTTAGCGTCAAGTTAGTGTCAACACATTTGAAGCAATGTCTCAATGCGCTAGCTTGTACTGTAAAATAAACTGGACTAACTGTGTTATAGACTCGTAGAGACATACAGCATGGAAACAGATCTATTGACGTTAAATAAAAACCGAAATAACTGCGGGTGCTGTAAATCAGGAACAAAAACAGAAGTTGCAGGAAAAGCTCAGCAGGTCTGGCAGCATCTGTGAAGAAAAAATCAAAGTTAACGTTTCGGGTCTGGTGACCCTTCATCAGTTCTGTTGTAAGGTCGAAAGGGCGCCGGAGCCTGAGTGGTTGTTTACCGCTTTGTTCTTTAGTTCCAGGTTGATTGTTCATAAACCTCACTATGGAGTACAATTCCGAGGAAGGTTCTGAGTTCAGTTCTAAGGGTCACCGGACTCGAAACGTTAATTCTGATTTTTTTCTTCACGAATGCTGTCAGATCTGCTGAGCTTTTCCAGCAACTTTGTTTTTGTACCTATTGATGTTAAATCGTACTCTTGCAATGAAAAAGCAACATGAAGTACTGACCTTCTGGATAAGAATGACTTTCTTCACTTCTTTTTGATGGCTGATAAGTCAATCCTGCTTCTGAATAAACCTTGTTTCAGAGATAGTAGGAACTGCAGATGCTGGAGAATCTGAGATAACAAGGTGTAGAGCTGGATGAACACAGCAGGCCAAGCAGCATCAGAGGAGCAGGAAAGCTGACATTTCAGGCCTAGACCCTTCTTCAGAAATGGGGGAGGGGTCGGGAGTTCTGAAATAAATAGGGAGAGAGGGGGAGGCGGATAGAATATGGATAGAGGAGAAGATAGGCGGAGAGGAGACAGACAGGTTGAAGAGGCGGGGATGGAGCCAGTAAAGGTGAGTGTAGGTGGGGAGGTAGGGAGGAGATAGGTCAGTCCAGGGAGGATGGACAGGTCAAGGGGGCGGGATGAGGTTAGTAGGTAGGAAATGGGGGTGCGGCTTGAGGTGGGAGGAAGGGATAGGTGGGAGGAAGGACAGGTTAGGTAGGCGGGGACGAGCTGGGCTGGTTTTGGGATGCGGTACGGAGAGGGGAGATTTTGAAGCTTGTGAAGTCCACATTGATATCTTTGGGATGCAGGGTTCCTCACGTACCACCCCACCAACCTCCAGATCCAACGCATCATCCTCCGATACTTCCGCCATCTGCAATCCAACCCCACCACCAAAGACATTTTTCCCTCCCCACCCTTATCTGCTTTCCGGAGGGACCACTCTCTCCGTGACTCCCTTATCCGCTCCACACTCCCCTCCAGCCCCACCACACCCGGCACTTTTCCCTGCAACCGCAGGAAGTGCTACACCTGCCCATACACCTCCCCCCTCACCCCCATCCCAGGCCCCAAGAAGACTTTCCACGTCAAGCAGATGCTCACCTGCACATCTACTAATGTGATATACTGCATCTGCTGTTCCCGTTGTGGCCTCCTCTACATCGGGAAAACCAAGCGGAGACTCGGGGACCGCTTTGCAGAACACCTACGCTCGGTTCGCACTAAACAACTGCACCTCTCAGTCGGGAACCATTTCAACTCCCCCTCCCATTCCTCAGACGACATGTCCATCCTGGGCCTCCTGCAGTCCCACAACGATGCTACCCGAAGGTTGCAGGAACAGCAACTCATATTCCGCTTGGGAACCCTGCAGCCCAATGGTATCAATGTGGATTTCACAAGCTTCAAAATCTCCCCTCCCCCTACCGCATCCCAAAACCAGCCCAGCTCGTCCCTGCCTCCCTAACCTGTCCTTCCTCCCACCTATCCCCTCCTCCCACCTCAAGCCCCACCCCCATCTCCTACCGACTAACCTCATCCCGACGCCTTGACCTGTCTGTCCTCCCTGGACTGATCTATCCCCTTCCTAACTCCCCACCTACATTCACCTTTACTGGCTCCATCCCGCCTCTTTGACCTGTCTGTTTCCTCTCCACCTGTCTTCTCCTCTATCCATCTTCTATCCGCCTCCCCCTCTCTCCCTATTTATTTCAGAACCCCCTTCCCTTCCCCCATTTCTGAAGAAGGGTCTAGGCCCGAAACGTCAGGTTTCCTGCTCCTCTGATGCTGCGTGGCCTGCTGTGTTCATCCAGCTCTACACCTTGTTATCTCTGAATAAACCTTCTCCATTTTGTCAATCAGAAGCCAAGTACTCCCATGAGTTTGTGGGACTTCAATTTTTTCAGGAATGGTTTGAAGACTCTGTCTGGAAATCTTCTGGCTTTGGCTGAAATCCCAGTAGAACTGTTGCTCAGGAGTCTGACATAGCCTGTCCAGTGGCGCTGATTTTGAGTGATTAGTGTCTTGAGGCTGGACAAGCTGGCTTGGAAAAGAGAATGCAGTTGGAATGCCTTTCTTGCCACAATTCAATATGCATCAATCCTTGTGTAACATGGTCATGATATCTTGGTACAATCCTTTTAGTATGAGGTTTTGTCTTCCCTTGAAAATGACTTGCCATGCTATCGCCAGTTAATTGTTGTCTAACCAAAATGAATAAATGGCCATAGAAACTTCTTTAATGATGTCAGGCTAACTCTAGATACTGGTCTTTTAAAACTCTTGTAGTCACTCATCTTTGGCAGTTACCCATCACAATTATTCACACTGGATCTGATCAAAGTGTAACAGATTAATTTTGAAAACATCTTCAACTTCAACTTATGTAATCATGTCACGTGTGGTCTGCTGTACCACAGCGGGTATGATTTGAATCTTATTAATTCTGACTACAATGAGATCTATGCATACCAGTAATCCCACCACTGCTTAACTCCTGGTACCAAACAGGTAGAAGATTTCAGGAAGTCACAATTAACTTGCGTATTTGTACTCCTGTATCCTGTAGATATATTCTGTAGATTGTACCGTGGAGCACCGCTTGCTGAGGTATGTGTCTTTCAGGATGTGTACTGGTAATATGTTGAAACAAAAACAAAATTGCTGGAAAAGCTCAGCAGGTCTGGCAGCATCTGTGAAGGAGAAAACAGAGTTAACATTTCAGGTCCGGTGACCCTTCCTCAGATTTACAGATGTTCTTGATTTACAGCATCCACAGTTCTTTTGGTTTTTATTAGGTAATATGTTGGAACTAGCTCCTGTGTTGATTTTAGCTTTTAATGTGCAATGACCTACCTTTCCAGGACATATGATGTTATCATTTGTAAAGTTTCTGACTGCCTTGTACCATCAACCTGGTGTGTTAGGTCATCATATGGAAAGCTTGGTCATTTGCTGAAATCTGCCCTTCTCTTGGGCTGTCTTCATCAAAGTGCTTGCATTTGAACATATTTTAATATTTTCCTTGTTGCCAGAATTGTAATGTTGTATTGTTTGATGATCACCTATGTTCTGTTCTAGGATCAGGCTTGGCCTTTGGAACCAGAATTCCTGCAGATGAATGCCAACGTCCTTCGCTACCATAGGTTTTGCAGATGTGAAGAAAAGCTGTACAAATGCTGTGGTTGGTTCACTTGCCAAGCTGGTTCATTTGTTCGCAGATGTTTCGTTACCCTACTGGGTAACATCATCAGTCCAACTTCTGATGAAGTGCTGCTGTGTTTTCCCATCTGGTATTTAAACTCTGGGGTCCGTTGGTCTTGATTACCTCATTCCCGATTTTCCTTCACAGTGATGTATATATAGGGTCCACCTTTATGCATTTGTTGATGGCCTTCTTGGTGGAGAACCAGGCCTTTCGGAATCCTATGCTTGTCTCTATTTGGCCTGTCCTAGGATCCTGGTATTATCCCAATCAAGCTGGTCGTTCTCCTTATCTGTGTGAATGGAGATGAGTGCGTATTGGTCATGTCTTTTTGTTGCTAGTTGGTGTTCATGTACCCTTGTGGCCAATTTTCTTCTTGTCTGTCCAATGTATTGTTTGTCACAGTCCTTGCCTAGGATTTTTTATATTATGTTGGTTCTGTCCACAGTGGGTAAGGGGTCTTTGGTTCAAGTTAGCAGTTGGGATAGGGTTGACGTGGCTTAGTGTGCTACTCTGACGCCCAATGGTCGTAGGAGTCTTGTAGTCAGTTCGGATATGTTCTTGATGTATGGTAGCATGATGAGTGTGTTAGGGCATGCAGTATCTTCCTGTTGTTGTTTGTGTGATAAGTATTGTTGGATCCGGTTATTCCGGTATCCGTTTTCCTTAAATACTAGGTGGAGTAACTTTTCTTCTTTTCTTCTGTGTTGCTATAGTATGTTGTCACTTTGGGTGGATTGGGTGGATGCACCAAAACATATCTATTACAAATCTTGTTGGTTTGGCTGCAGAAATAGTATTAGCTAGGCTCAAGACATGGATTGTTGTTGGCCAACTGCTACGGCTTCAAACTCTCATCCATCTTCAAATAAGGTGTCAATGGTATGCCCACTTTTGTTGCCTAGAAGAGCCTTCCTGAACATTTTAATTATGTAGACCCAATTACTAATTCAGTTGCCTCTGAGTTCCTCTTTAAAGAAATTGATTTTATGCCCCTTGCTGTGACATCTAGGGACTAAATCATTAATAGACTCTTGTGGTTGCTGTCTGTATGATGTGAGTTCAAGTTTGTTAATCCTGAAGTTAATTCTTACTTTGAGTGATCTTCAAATC